AGCAACAGCTCATATCATGATTGATTGATTGACTGATTGATTGATTGATTGACTGAGTCTTTTCCTTCCATTAAATCTTGGTGATGGCTTCATCTTACTCTCTTAATCTAATTCTCTTCTTCTCAATTTGTCTTCATCTCATTTATTTTCCTTTTATAGGTTATATCTCTGTATATCCCCAAGTCCTTTCAATAGTGCCACAATGAGCATGGAGAAATAAATGGAAAACTTAAATTTAGATGAATTTCAGATAATGGCTTAAATTGTTTTAGGTAAAATGCAAATAAAATTAAAAATTAGGAGCACAATACATAAAACATAGAAATAGAAATAATAGCTGAGGAAGATGGTAGCGGATCTGGCCTATGTCATGTAATTTCCTCTTTCAATCCTCTTGGGGGCTCCTTAGAGCTCTAAGCAGTAGAGTTAGATGGTTATCATCAGATATGGAAACATGTTGTCATCTTGTGGGAAAGAAAGGCCCAGGAGTCTTCCTAAAGTCAGCTGTGAAATAGACCTTGACAGAAGGTGTGAAGATGAGAGGGCAGGCATAGGGAACAGAGGCAGGGCAGGTGGAAGGAAGGGATCACAAACGATGCTCAGGGCAACGTCTAATATGAAAACTGTATCAGGCAGACATAGGTCTGAGGCTTATTATCTGATCCTTTGCAGTTTATGGAGACTGGGTATCTGGAAGCTCCATGTCTTACAGGGCAAGGCTAAGGGTATGACAGGAGTTTCCTGGAGTAAGTGATTTTCTTCTTTATTTTAGCCCTTTTGCTCCTTACACCTGCACTTGCAGCTCTCTGAAAACCCATATTCCTCAGGAAGGATCTCCAGCAAGGAGACAGCCCCGGGACTTGTGGTGGCCACAGGTAAGGACAACACTCCTTGAGCTTCTTCCTTACCAAGGCCTTCTGGAATAATGTTATTATTTATTGATTATGTACTTATTTGAGCATTAGATGGAAACTTCTTAGAAAATGTGCCAGAATCTTGTATCCCCAAAGCTCATCCTACAATTCTAGAAAAAAAAAAAAAACAGCCTTCTTGTCAGAGAGATTGTAATGGGGACTTCTCACCTTAAGAAAACATACTGTATATCAGGTAGGGCAGCCTTCTCTTTATAGAGAGGATACTTTACAAAGGGTTTCACCCCCCCGGGGCTGTTTTTAATCAGGGGGTTTCTGGTGCATGTAAAGGTTTGTTTACACATGATTAAGCAGTTGGCAGAGAGCCTGGGGAAAGGGCAGAAAAACTTCAGGCTGCATTGTTGGAAGCACTGTCCGCTGGACATTGATCAGAAGTGAAGATAAAGCAACTCTGATAGGAAAATGAAAGTCTCTGGGGAGAATGTGCTCTGATTAGCATTTATTTGATTTGCATACACCTTTTTAGGAACACATTGTTGGTATAAAGCAGTGCAGTGCATACTTTTAATCTTAGAAGATAGAGCTCTAGTTAGGGCTTGAGAGGTGACTGAGCAGTTAAGAGCACTGACTGCTTTTGCAGAGGACCTGGGTTGGATTCCCAGCACCTACATGGAGGCTAACAACTGACTGTAACTCCAGTTCCAGGGGAATCTGACACCCCCCTTCTGACCTCCATGAGCTTTGCAGAACATGGAGGCAATACACTCATACACATAAAAATAATATTTCCTTTTCAATGAAAGTAGATAAACTCAAAGTGGCTTTCTGAAATCATACCTCTGTTCATCAGTACCACACTCTCACCTATAGATCTTCTAGATAATGGGTTTGTCACCAGAGTTCTCTTAGGGCCCCTTGCTCCTGGTGCCACTAGACAAACCACATAACACATCTTTATCTGAATTTTTCACAGTTTATATCCTGGGTAGGGGGAATAGAGTAACTTACAAAGGTGAACGTCCAGTGCTCCACAAAAAGGTGAACACCCAGTGCCCTGTTCCACTCTGTGGTTTGGTGGCTCACCATTCCAGACCACTTCTGCACCCTGCCCACAGTCTCCGTTAGCTTTCACCCATGCGTTTCGGGCCCGCAGTCTGGCCTCAGGTCAGTAAATGCACCCTCTCACATCCACGTGGGCAAGACACCATGGCCATTTTTTCCACTCTGCTTCTGTTCCAAGATGGAGCCAAAAGCCCCTCCCTCCACGGATAACTCTCCACAGTCAATTCTCCACAGCAGGTCCTGCCCCTCAGAGGAACTAGGCCACTTGGGACACACTCCCCCCTTTCCTCTGCTCTTACAGTCTTTCTGACAATCTTCCTCTAAGGTCCCTGAACCTCGGAGGGAGTGACAGATGTAGGGTGATCTCTCTTGTATCATGGTGAGATAGTGACTTCTGGGGCCTCCCCATTATTCATCTTCAAGCTGTGGCCATTGATCTATCTCAGTGGTGTTTCTTCTACTTAAAGACAAATGGAAGGTTGTAGACACATCTCAACAAACATGAGTGTAAATACAAATACCTAGAAGATATCCCAGTAGGTGCACTATATTCTTTAAACAGTGTACTTGTAATGGCTTCCCCGCTAGGGCCTGTATCCCTTCACAACATAGGGGGTTGGCCTGGTCTACAGCACCAGACATGTGTTCCACCCCTTTGAAGTGGGCCTTATCCAATTAGAAATTTGTCAGTTGTACCTATGTTAGTTGAGCCATTATTGCACTTGCAGGCATTGCTGGGCATGTCCATAGTGTGCAGCACACAGGGTCCATTGTTGAGTAGAATCATAGGGGATCCTTTTTTCCCAAACAATCTGCATAGCACCTTCTGGTATTATGAACGTCATCCATTCAGTGGTATGGAGTTTTGGTGAATTCGTCGACCTCCAGGATCTCTCTCTGACCAACATCTCATAGGGGGCAACCCACCCCTGGTATTTTCTTAACAGTTGTATAGGTTGGGAGCCTCTGTTTTTATCTTACCCAACCATTAAAAACAAAAACAAACAAACAAACAAAAAACCTCCCAAGAATCTTCCAGCTATAGCTGGCCTTTGTTTCTTTAGGTATCTTTCAAATGGGTTTCACATCTGTAAAACACTCAAAGGAAGGTTAACATTATATATTAAATCAATTATAGACAAGGCCTAACACAGCATGGAATGTTTTTTCCCATTTATATTAGCTATTTTCTTCAGAGATCTTTGTTAGGTACCATAGTATGGGTACGAGGCATTAATTTGTTTAGTTCTTTACTATGTTTAGTTATCCCTTTGGAGTAATTTCACACTTGGGGATTTTACATGGAGTCTCTTCGTATTCTGCCTGACCCTGCACTTGGCTAAGGAGGCAGGGGTTTCTCCTGTCCCTGTTGCACCTGTTGGTTCCCTGAATCAGGCAGTCCCTGGTCTGACTACTGACCGTAGCCATGTCTGTCATCTCTCCATTGATCATACTTGGCTGCTGGGGAGGCCTTGGTGGGAAAAACTGCCTCCACCCTTAGTATAGCCTTTATCAGAAGATAAATGTAACTTATTTAATCTTTGGGGATTTTTAACCACCTTTGGAATAGTTTCTATCCTTTGAATGCCTTTTGTAAATTGTGGTTCTGCTTTTAGAGCCTTCTAGAAACTCTTAGTACCGAATTTGGTTTTCCATTAATTTGTTTCTTTGGGAATTTGGGCTCAACATAAGTTTTGCCATATTTGTCTCTGAGTGACCCAAACGGACCATTTCTTCTCTTGTAGGGTGTTCTGTTATTCTGCAGATGTGTTTCACATGTTGGTCAGAATCGCTTAGATCTGCTAAAGCCTCTCTCACTTTACAAAGATCCTGTCCTATTAAAGGGCTTAGCAAAACCATTAAAGCTCCATACTATTCTTGAGGTCCCAGTTGACTTAAGCCTTCCTTTATATCTCTGATGAACACAGTCTTATCTGGCCCAGTGAACTGGACATCATATATTGCTTTTTTCATACCTAGTTCTCTCAGTAATGCCTGCCCCTCCTTCCTAGTCCCCCAGCCCCTGCTAATCATGTTAGTCTCCCTTTATGATGAAGCATGTATCTTTAATGCCATCAACCAGCCACCCCATTAAGGACTGCTCCCTGCTGCACTGGCCTAGGTTGAACAGCCTATATCGCAAGGACTGATGGGTGGTTATAGAACTCAGGTATGAAGTTCTGAAGGACTTAGACTGATGTTATTTGCTCCCATGTCCCATACCCTCAGGAGCCACAAAGTAAGGGGCTCTTTGATGGCTTGCTTATAAGTTTTTCCTAGTTTAACAGCTCCAGCCTGGAGTATTTCCTATCTACAGCACTGTTAGCTTTTTTCCCTTTTGTATCAAAGGTTGAATCTGAGGGGCAGCCTTAGCCACTTTCATTTTTAGGTTGTTTCCTTTTTCATTATTATCTGTCTTTTTTTAGGAGTCCTTGGACCTTACACAAATTAAAATGTCCCATTTTTTTCTCTCTCTCAAGTTCTGCAACTGACCCTGCCTTTTTAGCTTCCTCTGCCTTGGGCAAATCTTTTATTTTGTAAAGTGGCCACGTCCCCTCTCTGGGTTCTCTACTTGTGTCCCAGGCTTGTAAAAGTTTTTCTAGCCTCTCTATTACCTTTAACAAATCTTCATATGCCCATAATTGGGCTGTTTCCCCACATTTACAATACTGCTTTGGCCCAAGCTTCTGAGTGGCTGGCTCCTTTTTAGTTACAGATTTTATAATCCATTGTATAACCCACGTGACTATTGCTAACCCCATTAAATGTATGGGGTTTGATTGCTCTCTGCCCTGGATTCCTGCCAGCTGCTCCGGGATTTGGGAATCTGAACCCAGCTGACCTGCTGTTGCTGTGGCAGGAACGGCACTGCTGCCCCAAACCCACATCCCCAAGGCTCTGGTTTCTTTATCCTGCTGATGCTATGCCAGTTTGTTGCCCGAGTTCTCTTAGGGTCCTTTGCTCCTGGTGCCAGTAGACAAACCATATAACATATCTTTATTTGAATTTTTCTGTAGTCTATATACTGGGTAGGGGGAATAGAGTAACTTACAAAGACGAACACCCAGCACTCCACAAAAAGGCAAAGACCAGGTGCCCCATTGTGCTCTGTGGCTCAGTGGCCTGCTGGTCCAGTTCGCTTCTGACCCCACCCACAGTTTCCATTAGCTTTCTCCCACGCTTCATGGGCCTGCAGTCTCGCCCCAGGTTGGTAAACGTCTCCTCTCATGTCCACAGAGGCGAGACACTGGGGCCATTTTTGCTGCTTGGTGCTGCTCCTGTTCCAAGATGGCTTCAAAAGCCCCTCCGTCTGCAGCTAACTCTCCTCAGTCAATTCTTCCCAGTGGGCCCCACCCCTTGGAGAAACCAGAAAGCTCCATTCCAACAATTTATATATATATATAATTTTTTTAGAAGAAGAAGCATTTCATTACAGCTCTAACATACTCCATAACCAATTTCCTGAGCTAAAATGCATCTCTTTCAAAACTGGCTGTAAATTTTTATATTTACAGTTGAAAGGAATATTGACAACTGGTTGCTGCTAGACGAGGAACAGCTGACCCTCCTAAAACAAAGACCTCTAGATAGGCTGACTAGATCCACCAGAAGGGCAAGTAGTGGGGATTGGATGGGGGTGCCGACAACACAGCAGACAGTAACACAGATA